CGCCGCGGGGGCCGGGCCGCGGCCGCCCGCCCCTGCCGCCGCGCGGAGCGCTCCCTCCGTGCCGCTTCCTTCTGCTCCGTTTTGTTTGACGCGACCCCCTCACCGATGCCCTCTCGGCTTGGGGAGCCACCCCCGCGTGGGTGAGGAGGAGGCGTGAGCAGGGGGCTGTTGCCTTGGCATCTGGAGCGGGGCTTCGTTTCCTCACTTGCCGCAAACTTTACCTCCCACCCACACACTCCTCCTAAATCATATATTTTAATATATAATTACTTATTTATATTTAATATATACCTTCGTTTCGGCTGTTACCACCTCAGTTTCTCCCTTGCCCCCACTCCTGCTAAGGTAACTTAAACAACTCACTCTCTGAGGGGTAAAAATACATGTTGGGATTCACGTTGCCTTGAATGCATACATAGACACATACATACATATATATATATACACTATGCATACATACATACATATATGTACATATATATTTTTAAAAAGGCATATGCCGACGTTGTGCAGCTTGGACAATACCAGGTGTGGGGATTTGGCAGGGAGGGCCCCCTCGCCTGCTGCTGGCTTGGGAAGAACACGGCGCTTGGGAGCATGCACCCCTTGGTGGAGAAATTGCAGGAATCTAGTGTCCTCAGACGAAGGACACGGCAAACATTGGCAAGAGACGAACAAAGAAGGGTGAAAAATTGTCAGAAAAAAAAATAGTAACAAATAAATGGTGAGACGAAGGGCTAGGGATGCCTAGATTTAAATCGGGAGGTTGAAGTAGCAGAGGTCCTTGGGAAGGAGATGGTCAGTGCAGCAGCACCAGGACACGGCGGTGAAGAGAAGCAGACAGGGCCGCGTCTACAGGGAATGGTGCCGCGCAGGGCCTGCTAAAAGAGCCCCTCGGATCCGCTAGCCCTTAGCAGCTAAAATGGACTTTCTATGCACTTACGGTCTAAATACGAAAACGAAAATATTAAGATGACATTACTGACTTCCTGGCCATGCTGGAGGCAGTTACTGAGAGCGCCAAGTGTGACTGGAGAGCAGCAATGTGGTTTCAAGTGAGAGCAACGTGTTACTGCTCAGAAATAAGGCTTCGCAATCATAGGGGTGAGTAGAAGCATCAATTTGGTGCTCAGAACCGAACAAAATCTTAGAAAACGTCAGGTCAGAGAGGGTCAGAGAGCATGCCCTGTGCTCCCCAAAGACAGGAGCAGAAACGGCAAAGATTCGGGGAAAATGCAGGAAGGATAACCAGTTATGGGCATTGGTGTCTGTGCTAGGAGCGATCTCACAGATCGGCAATAAAAACGGTAACAGCACAAAAAAGACGACAGAGAGAAGATGACAGGGGCCTAAGCGATCATGACTAGAGGACAGGGACATATTATCTGCTTTCGTTTCTAATATAAGAACTAGAGAGCATCAAGTGAAACTAGCAGGTGGCAGTTTGAAAGCAAATGTGAAGGAGGTGTTTCCTTGCCCAGCAAGTACTTAACTGGGCACAGCATGCTTCAAGATGCCAACAGTTTGCACAGCATCAAAAAGTGACCAAACACCTTCCCAGAAGAAAAAAAAAACATCAAGGGCTACTCAAAGCAAAGACACCAACACTGCTGCACAGAGCAGCCCATCTAGCAGCCCGTGTTCAAAGCCTAGAGGCCGTTCCAGGGATGTGTCAGTCCGTCCCTGCTGTTCCAGGGACGTGTCAGTCTGTCCTTGCTGTGCTGTTTTACCTGTCGTCGGCCCGGCCAGCAGCTGCAGCAGGCCCCAGGGGTCTCAGAGACCGTTGTTATATATAGTCAGATATAGTCATATACCGGCGGCCGGGAAATGGGAGCAGCCTCCCAAGTCTTTTCAATCTTACTGGTTAACAAGAGCACTGATAAATTTGGTAGTTAACAAAAATGTTTTCCTTAAAATACAGGCTTTGAGGCTTCGGGGCATCAGCACGAAGACAAGCGGATTGCTGACGCGGCAGCGGCACCCTTAGCTTTGCTTACGGCCCGTCACCCCACCGCTTGCAAAAGTCTTTTTATGGGTTTACAGCAAATGTCAGTTTGGCAGGGATTTTTTTTTAACTACCTTATTCTAAGTATTTAAAAAAGGGTTAACTGTGAATGCTTTCACATTACTCGGGACGTGGGAGTTGCCCAATGCTGCTCAAATAACTCGCTGTCAACAAAAGGAGCAGCAGCTCGGGGTATCTTATGCAATATTGGGTGGCTGCTGTAGCTTCTAGTGTATGCTTTTAATCTGTTTACAGCATGAGCTAGCTATAAAGGACTGTAGTCTGGGTATCAGCAGATACCGTGGGGAAAATGCTCATCATTATATTAATAACACCACATTCGGAAGGCTGCTTACGCACAGATCGGTAAGAGTGTGAACAATATTAATTGGGTTTGGTTATATAAAATACGACTGGACCACCCGAGAAGCACTAAGCAGAATGTTTAGCAGGATTTGTAGCTCTTTCTCTCCATTTCTTCCTGCTG